AAGCTCAAGCTCTTGGCAAAGAAGGTCGAGGCGGAAAAGGGGATGGTGGGCGAGATGATGCTGCCGTACGGTGCACCAGGAGAACTTTCCTGAGACTGATACACACCCAACTGACCGATGCCTCCTCCGAAATGGGCCACATCGATCATCTGTTGCAACACGATGCTCTCGTCCATCTCAAGGCCGGGATTCAATGCCTCCATGCCAACACAGTCCACGGTGCGCATCACCCCGCGTGGCTCGCGAGCCAAGATTTGGGCGACGGGATCTTTGTCGGCAAAGTTGATCGGGATAGCTCCGATGAAAGCCGCAAGACCGAGGCGCTCCTCCACGTGGTCGACAACGTAGACCTTGGAAGCCCCACGCAAGATGGCGGAGTAGGCAGATAGCAGCCCGACGGGTCCTGCCCCGAAGACGGCGACGGAATCGCCGGATTCGAACCCGGTGTAGTCGATACCGGCCCACCCCGTAGCGAAGATGTCCGCAACGGTCAGGTAGTCGTGCTCAATCGTCGAGTTGGCGGTTTCTTGGGTCAATGGGATAGGGATCAGGTTAGCTTCAGCGAAAGGGACCCTCGCGTATTCAGCTATGCGTCTCGTTGTCAGCACATTGGCCACCACGCATGGCACGGTCATTGAACAGGATTGCTCCAACCTTGAAGCCCACCGAGGCCCATCTCACTATTACCGAAGCCGAAGTACTCTTTCGACGCCGGCTCGATCTCCAAGTGACCCGCAGACACGGTGTCGGGAACAATGACGTAGTCCCCGACGGCGAAGGAGGACACGGCGTCGCCGATTTCCGAGATGTAGCCAACAGCCTCGTGGCCCATTGTCCATGGCGGGGCACCGCCCATGTAGCCGCGATAGATGTGCAGGTCGGATCCGCACATGGCTGAAGTGGTCACCCGCACAACAACATCTGTCTCGTTCAAGATGGTTGGCTTAGCAACATCCTGAACCATCATTTCAAAAGGGGTGCCATGGTAAACGACTGCGCGCATGGTCGTGGCTGGGCAGGACAGATTGAGCGACATACCTTTTGCGACAAAGGGCGTTGATGCTCAGACAGATTGCGTGGCTGAGCCGATGGTGAAATCTTACGGCGAGTGTGATGGTCT